TTAGCATACAAGGCTCAATAACTACTGAGCCTAAAAGGCATAGAAATCCCAAAGCCACCTCGTGGGTAGATTTTAAAAACCTGCTCGCTGAGGCAGCTAAGGATTTTCCAAAATCAATCAAGACACCCGACTCCCTTAACATTTTAAACAACTTATTAACGGATGGCATCTTAAATGCCTATGAAAATAGCTGTCCTGTCAGGGAACTTAAGGTTAACAACAATACTCCGTGGTGGAACAAAAAGCTAGAACGACTTAGAGTTTCCACACGTCGCTTATTTAATCAGGCCACTACACCGTATGGGTGGGAACGGTATAAGAAGGCTCTGACTAAATACCACAAAGAGATCAGAAAAGCTAAAAGAGCATCTTGGAAACGATTCTGTGAGAATATCGCCCAAACACATAAAGGAGCGAGAATCCACAAGGTCCTTGCCAAGACACCAAACATCTTTCTCGGCTTTTTAAAAAAGCGAGACAATTCCTTCACGACCACAGAGATGGAGACGCTGGAACTTTTAAGAGCAACCCATTTCCCAGGATCGTACCCTGTCACCGGCAGTGAATCAAACCCAAAGGAAAACTACATCCACAGGGCAAATAGTTGCGACTGGAAGATGGCCAATACCATTTTTAGGCCTAACCAGATTAGATGGGCTTTGAAAAAATTCAAACCATTTAAATCAGCAGGGGAAGACGGAATTTTTCCAGCTCTGCTTCAACAGGGCATGGAACTCCTTATCCCGCATCTGGTAAAATTATTTAGAGCAAGCTTTGCTTTGGGCATTATACCAGAACAATGGACTAAGGTCAAGGTTATCTTTATACCGAAGATCGGTAAAAAACGACTACTCTCAGCCCAAATCCTTTAGACCTATTAGTCTTACTTCTTTCCTATTAAAAACAATGGAAAAAGTAATCAATCAGCACATTAGAACAAGGTATCTTGTGGCTAGACCACTTTCCTGCAACCAACATGCTTACCAAAAGGGTAAATCCACAGAATCTGCCTTAGTAGCTCTGATCGACAAGGCAGAAAGGTCCCTAGAGGATAAGCAGGACAGCTCTATGTGCATTTTTGGACATTGAGGGGGCCTTTGATAACACACCTACGGCAACCATCCTGAAAGGATTAAATGCAAAAGGTGTTGATATCACAACCACCAGATGGGTGGAATATATGCTCTCCAACCGGTGTGCGAAAGTTACGTTAAACGAACACTCGCACAACTTCTACACTACAAGAGGCTGTCCGCAAGGAGGAGTGCTTTCACCCCTATTATGGACACTAGCTGTAGACCTACTACTTGTAATCATGGCAGATCTCGACTACGATACACAGGCTATGCAGATGACCTTGTTGTAGTAGTAGAGGTCCCTGCCTGAACACAATTTCCACCAGGTTACAAGGAGCTCTCAATACCATCACAAGATGGTGCAGAGAAAATGAGTTATCAATAAACGCTGATAAAACAGTTATTGTACCATTTACCAGGAAAAGGAAGCTTGAAAGGCTGACCGAACTCAGACTCAATGGCAAAACCCTTAACCTATCAAATGAGGTAAAGTACCTTGGAGTCACTATTGATCAAAAGTTGACCTGGAACTCTCACCTCAACAACATTATACAAAAAGCCAAAATGGCCCTCTGGATATGTTGTCGAATGGCTGGAGCCAAGTGGGGCCTCAAGCCCAAAATGGCTCTCTGGATGTACACCGCCGTGGTAAGGCCGATCATAACATACGCCTCAGTCGTATGGTGTAACAAAACCAAACAAAAGTGAGTAAACTACAAATATGAGTAAACTAGACAGCATACAACGGATGGCATGTCTAATCATCACGGGAGCCTTCCACTCGGCACCAGGCGATGCTTTAAATGCATTGTTGGACATAGCTCCGCTATATCTCCACGTGCAAAAAGAAGCTAAATCTTGCCTCTACAGGCTCTGTACACAATCGAATGTAAAGTTGCAATCGCAATATATGAACAAACTCAAGGAATTGACATTCGAACACAAAACTCTGAAAATGCCAGTCGATGGCATGAGTACAGAGTTTAACTTCGCAAAACAGTACCAAATAGATCTTCCCAACCGGGACATGTGGCTAAAAAACCAAGAGTCTCACAAAAAGGGCAGTCATGTTTGGTTTACAGATGGATCCAAGAAAGGATCTGATGTAGGGTGCGGCATCTATGGCCTTAAGCCTAGATTTGACATGAGTGTCAATCTGGGCAAGGAGGCCACCATCTTCCAAGCCGAGGTCTTCGCCATCAACAAATGTGCTGAAGTCATCCTGGAGAGGAAGCTTAGAAACCAAAATATCTACATCAACTCAGATAGCCAAGCAGCACTTCTGGCTATAGATTCTCTTGAGACCAACTCTAAGTTGGTCAAAGACTGTATGGATAATCTGAATGTCCTGGGCACATCCAACAGAGTTACCCTCAGATGGGTCCCGGGTCACTCAGGCATAGATGGGAATGAAAAGGCTGATGCATTGGCAAGAAGGGGCGCTGAAACCCCAGATTGTGGCCCAGAACCATTCTGTGGCATTGCAAAACAACATGCCTATTCAATTCTCAAAATTCACTGCAATCGCCAAGCACTTCAAGAGTGGCAATCCACTTCTGGACAAATACACTCTAAAGCGCTAATTAAGGGATATCGCAAAAAGTTTACAAAAGAGTTGCTTCAACTCAACAAGTATAAAACCAGTGCAGTAACCAGAATACTTACTGGTCACTGCAAACTCAATAAACATATGTTTACCCTCGGCCTCAGTCAGACCGCAATGTGCAGACTATGCCATGAGACAGAGGAAACTGCTATGCATATCCTCTGCTCGTGCGGTCCACTCATGCACCGCAGAAGTATCTATCTAGGGCAGCATATTATGCAACCGGAAGAGATACAGATGCTCCCCGCTCAGAAAATCTGGAAGTTCCTGGAGTCAACAGGACTAAGCGGAGAACTTTGAACTCACTATAAAAAGGGAGCTACAATGGACCAAAACTGGTCGACGTAGCTAGGGCCGACCTCGGCACCACACCCAACATTAATAATAATAATAATAATAGAATTGATTCTATTAAAAGTCATCACCATACCTGCCTTAATTAAAGACACAGTTCGTTAAAATAAACGAAACGTGACGTCTGCGTTAAATTAGACAGTCTTATCTAGTGTAAATCTTTGAATCTATGGGCTATTAGCTTCATACATTTTCACCTCCTTAAGGGATGATTTGCGGAATAAAAAGTATCCTATGTGCTTCCCAGAGTCTCAAACTATCTTCTTACCAAATTTCATCTAAATCAGTTCAGTAGATCCAGAGATTACCACAACGTCACAAACTTACAAACTCACAAACTTTACATCTTTATAATATTAGTATAGATGTATAAATTATAGGCAAAGACCAAATAGTTCAGTACATTTTTCTCGTCTGTTTGTCAACCGATTCCCTTTTTTTTTATTTGTTTACTAGCTATTGGCGAGCTTTAGTCTTATTTATAAAAAAAAATACTTAATTATCATATTTTCAATAATGATTATGGTCTAATTTCGAATACTTGACGAACAATAGTTATAATAAAAAATCACACATGTTTACTTAGTCCATTGACTTCTTTCTTCATTTATTTTTTACTAGTGTCTCACTCTCGCTCCGCTCGGATTCGTCCTTTACGCTAGATACGTTTTAACGGTTAGTATAGATTTCTCACAGATGAGATATTTTCCCGCAGTAAAAAGTATCCTATATATTGACCCGGATATCCGGTTATCATCATACCAAATTTCATTAAAATTTGTCCAGTGGTTTTCTCGTGACGTGTTCCGAGAGAGACAGACAGTCAAACAGACAGATAAAAATTCTAAAAACTATAGATTCGGCCTCTGTATCGATAATAATGACTATTTCAAAAAGATTTAATGTACAGATTCGACTCAGTTAGAGTTTTATTATAGGTGTAGTATGTATATGTATGTATATATGTGTAGGTTTAGTTAAGTGAATAGTGAAAAATCGAGAGCAAACGTGTAATTAATTATAACTCGGATAAATATTTGTTATTTAACTATCTTATTTGTCTAAAGCACTGTGTCGCAGGCGTAAGTTACACTTTATAAATGTACATTATTAAGGTGTGGTCAAAAGGCTCGATTTAATATTATATTCAATTTGTATTTAGCCCTTTTTAACACCCCACTACTGGGCACGGGCCTCCCTTCAATACGAGGAAGATTAGGCCATAGTTCACCACGCTAGCCAAGCAGGTTGGCGAACTTCACATGCCTTTACGAAAACTTGCTACGTTCTCTTAGACATGCAGGTTTCCTCACGGTATTTTCCTTCACCATAAGGCAAGTGGTAATCATGCTAGAAATGACTCGTACATGAAAATATCAGAGGTGTGAGACCCGGGATTTGAACCCACTCTTCACTTGTTTTCCCAAGCGAGTGCGTTACTACTGGGCTACCACTGCCTTGATTTATTCGATTCAATATTATATTCAATGATTTTTTTTAAGATATGACAACCCAGCCGACAATATTTTAAGATATGAATATCTAATAGGTAAATATTTGTTTTACGTATCGAAATATATTAGATTTGCTTTGCATCGGCTGGCACCGACTTCGAAATTATCTGATTAGGTATCTATTCTAAAAGAAAAGCCCCGTTTAGTTATATTTTACATTTTAGTGCTTGGAAGTCGGTTTTTTTAAGTTTTTATTAACTAATTAAAAATAAACTTGTGAAAGATCGAGCTCGTAACCTCTGATTCATTTGGTAGCCATTAGACGGTGACGTAACATAATCATCGTATTATAGTTAGTCCATTTATACATATTGTAATTTTTTTTTATTGCCATAATTAAAAGCTGTTCTAGACAAGCCTTTACTTGAATTAATTTAGTATAAAAGCGAATAGTATTCAATAAAATCAGCATAGCGCTATAATTATAATTGTGATTTGTTCATTGTCAAAATGCAATCAACTATAAATTGTTGTTCTTGCACCGAAACTGACAAAGGAAAAGGTTTCCAAGACCTGTCACCATCAATACAAAATTCAGTTAAAAAAATTATTACAAGCGAGGCTTATAGGTTATGTAATGTTGAAATTAAGGAGTTAAATACGGGTGGTGGCAATTTTCTTGCTGAATTATATGAAATTTGTATCAAAGGAGAAACTGCTGAAGGTGAAAAGGAAATTAATTTATTCGTGAAACAAAAAATTGTACTAGAAAATATCAAATTTGTTTGCATCGACAAAGCGTATGTAAAAGAAGAGTTCGCGTATAATAAATTATCGAAAGTTTTTACGTTAATTCAAGATGAGGCAAACGTGCCACCGAATCAACGATTTAACATGCCCAAATCATATGAAGAAACTGATGATAGCACGATTATTTTGGAAAATTTAAATAAAAAAGGATTTACAACATATGACCGAATGAAATTAATATCATTAAAGTATGCAGAATTAGGTGTAAAAGAATTGGCAAGATTCCACGGTCTATCGTTTGTGATTGAACAGAAAATGCCTGAATATTTTGAGAGAAAGATAAAATCTTTAGAGCATAGTTTTAATTATGATGACGATTGGAAAGTCATGATGAAGAATATAGTCATGTATATAGCTAATCTCTATGATGGTGAAATAAAAACTAAAATCCAGAAAGCATTACCAGTTTTCATAGAAAAGTTTCCAAAATATAATAACGATCAAACTTCGATTAAATGTACGTTGTCTCATGGAGATTTTAGATTGAATAACGTGTTAGTTCGAGAGGAAGTAAGTATTAATTGTATAAGTAATAACAGCAATGAATAAAACTGTTTGATATAATCTTCTAATTGCGACACATTGCTTAGCGATCTTTAGAATGTTGCTTGGTTAAAGAATATTTTTAACCCTATATTTCATTTTAGGACTGTAAATCTTAATATAATTTATTTTCAGAATGGTCAACCTGTAGAAGTGGTACTAGTGGACTATCAGCTTATTGACTTTGGATGTCCAATTCGAGATTTGCTGTTCTTTATTTTTTCTAGTACTGATCAAGACTTTAGAAGACTACATCTAAATTACCTGAAGGAATTATATTTCGATACACTATCCGAGTTTCTCAAATACTTTAAGATAGACGTGGAAGATGTGTATCCTAAAAAGTATTTTGATAAGATTTACTCTGAGTGGTTAGATTTTGGTTTATTAGTGACAGTATACAGTGCAGTGTTTTTATTTGCGCCAGAAACGGGCCTGGATTTACGAGTTCTGACACTTTCTGAAATACCAACAGAATTTGATGAAGAAGTTGATAATAGATTTCGTGGTCTAATAGATGATTTCTTAGAATGGGGCTATTTGTAATAAAAACGCAAATTTTAAGCTTTGTAAATCTTATTCTACTTGCAGTTCGACTACAGTATAATATATACGTGGAACGTTGATTTTATTATTATTATTAATAAATAGATGTTTATTATGGCTGTTGAGTACTCATTTTTTTTATTCTGAACTGAAACATTTAGCTTTTCAATTTTTGTATAGTAGGTAAAAATAATCATTGAGAAACTGTGAAATATATGCAAGAAATCTATAATTACCTTTTTGTGGTTTCTATCAACAATATTTAGACATCGTTCAAAAACATATTAATAAGCTTAAATGTGATACATATGGACTTTTAAATATATTTTTGACTTCTACATAATCACCTGTACATATACAGGTGGTGTGTGTAAATGTATTTCCCAACGTTAAAATGGGGTCTATCCTGGATCATTTATCATACACCTTTCCTGTAAGAAATAATAATCTATTTCTATTAGTAGTACCTACGTTACTTGAGCTATACTTGAATTATGTAGGTATATCATAAGTTTCTTTATGCAGAGATTAGTGCGTACAAAAAAGCACACTATTCAGCATAAGTTTATGTAGTATATAGAATTTAATTAAAAATCTAAAGAAATATGCTTCACTTCACTACATACTCGTACATACATTTTATAATAATGTACATAATACGTGTTTATAATAATAAATAATAATAACGTTTACCGAAATTCTATTTAAAAGACATAAATAAATATATATTTTAGGATAAATTATATTTTGCTTATACTTTACAGTGTGTAGGAAAACTAAACATTGTTATTTGCATCGAGATATCATTTTCATTTTATCTCCTTTCCTATTTACAATTGTATTAACGTCAATACACACGCTGAGTTTTGCGATATTGCTTACTAGCGAGTTACTTTCGCTGGTTACATTGTCTTGGTGGTCCAGTGGCAAGCATGTATATTGTATATGGCTGTAGACCCGGAGGTCCTACTATTTTTTTTTTATTTTTTTTATTGATTTTTCGTTGGTGTGTAAAATTACCGGAGGCCCGATTTTAAGGTTTGACAATTAAAGACTATTTATAATAAGATAATTTCTAATTTCAAATAAGATTAAATTCTTTGAAGAGAGCCATTTTTCTCTTTTCTTTCTTAATGCGGCATTGCAAAAGTACATAGGCTATGTTTAATCTACCTTTGTAATCTGGTTGTCAAAAACTTCGGAAGAAAGCTTCTGTTCAGAGAAGAACTGCTTAATATTCAAATAGACTTTAGTAACTAAATCTGAAAGAAAACCTAAGTATTTTATTCTCATTTAGATTTCTAATAAGAAGTATTACGTTTTGAAAACACTGTAATCTGAAAAATGAGAGTGGACTTATTATAAAACCTGTAACAGTTTAATATGAAAACAATAGACTGCGTGTGTTTTTAAAATAAACACTCTTATCAGAAGGAGATGTAGAAATTGTGATATTGTAAATAATCATGATTATGTTATACATTTAGTTTTATGTTTCATTTTGTTGTTTCTTGCACGTGTCGATTATTTATATCATTGCAGAAATTCGATATTTGTTTGTTAAATTCGATATCGTATTCGATGCTTACAATTACAGGATTTTTGTGTTGCACTACTATTAATGGGTAAGTTTGTATGTATGAATGTGTATCTATCAAGTTTTTACTTCTCGACACTGCAACGGCTGGACGTATTTAGATGTAACGCTAAACGTGTAAACGCTGACATATACTATAATAGCATACCACTTAATTATTAAACTCAATGATGGTATCAAATTTTACATCGATTTTAACACATTACTGTGCTCGCTTTTATTTGTTTCATTAAAATAATATTCATTCAAAATTATCTATTTACCACATGCTCGTATGTGGTTTTATTTAACTTGTCACCCACAATATTGCGTCATGATGATCAGCTAAGTTGTTGCGGCGTGGAAAGTTTTATAGTTTGCTTTCAGTGAATATCTTGACATGAGTTATGATTAACTTTATTCTATGTATTTACATTGCCATTCTATATACTCGTATATAATGGTCTAGTAGCTAGCATGTATGTACGTCTGCAGATCTAGAGGTTTTGGGTTCGAGTCCCGAGTCCCAAGTTAACTTGCAGAGTTTTACTGTCAAGAAATTCTCAGCCCGGAACTTGTTCGAATGCCTGGGTAGTATAGTGGCTAGTACCTATACAGCTGTAGATCCTTGAGCTCCTGGGCTAGGCACCGCGTTAGGTCAAGTTTAGTTAGTGAGTTTTCTGTTTAGAAAAGACTCAGTAATAGACCGGAGTTGGAAAGTTTGTGGCGTTTACCCCCATGAAGTCTCAGGAACACGTAAAGTAGTAAATAATGAGAGCATTTGTGTCTGCACGTACACAAGAGGACAGCATAAAACAGTTTATAGAATAGATTGTTTGATGTTCGTATCATTTAAAAAAAAATTGGAAAGAAAATATCTTTTCTCTTCCATACTCCTAGTTTCGATTGTATGAAAACATATTTATAGATAGCGATTCACGGGTCGGGTTCATCCCTTGGCACAATTTACATATTTTCCCCCAGGAAAAATATCTTAAATGTTGACCCGGATATGCAGCTATAATTAAACGAAATTTTATCAATATCTGTCCAGTGGTTTTCTCGTGATGCGTACCCAGACAGACAGACAGACAAAAAATCTAAAAACTAGATTCGGCTTCTGTCTCGATAATAATGACTATTTCAATGAGATTTTCCAAAAAAATATTTACCGTACAGATTCTTCTCAGAATTTTATTATATGTATAGATATCTAACTCTATATATTTTATACTAATTGATAAGGTAAGGCTACTTTTGCACTGTCATAGTGATAGATGATGAAGTGATTGACGTACATATGTACAGTGTACATACATTACATAAGTGAGATCGAACCCACAGTAAGTGGTATTTATGCCAGTGTTACTGAACAATGCGTTATTAAATGTGCGTACAGCTTGTATTTCAATAGAGAAACTTATTACACGCCATTGTGCTTCACGTTTATAATGAACTTCGGCTTTATTTTAGACCTGTTACACACTTGATAGTTACGTAGCTACAAAAAATAGTGGCAATATGCATAAGTCCTATGTTTTACAATTTTACAGCTTATCTCAAAGATATCTTTATATTAAAATAAATATATATATTGTTTACTTTTTAGTCATCATCATCATCATCTCCCTACTCTTTCCCAATCACTTGGGGTCGTCGCAGTACATTTCCCATACTGCTGATAGGATTTGGCAAAAGTTTTACGACCGGCCGCCTGCCTGACATCAACCCTCCTTGGGAATACTATTGTTTATCGCGTCCACGTCTTAAACAAAAACATAACTTTACAGTTTTAATGTATTTCTCCGATATATTTTGAAATAAATATTAAACACAATAAATTTTGTATTGACGCTGTCAATTTTTTTCTAAAAATTGTTTACTTTGTAGTATTTGGTATATTATTTTATTGCTTATTGGGAATTGGGATATATTATATGGTATTTATAAAGTTTACTGAAGTATAGACCACATAATTTGTCAACTTTCAATGGTGTGATCTTAGCTTAGAGCTCGAGTAAATATTCTATTTCGTCTAGCACAGAATTTAAATTCATTACAAGCTAGCGTGAGCCAAAAATTTGGACTCCTTACTAAAAATAGACTTCTGCGATTATTTTAGTGGACATCTATATGTTTAGTTCCTTGAAATCTTATATGATTTTCCATAATTGACATTTCTTAATATTTTTTTATTATGAGATACTCATTTTTTGGTATCACTTGCAAAAATAGTTATGTATTTTAGAGATAGTTTGTGCGTATGTATGCTACCTTATTTAATCGCTGATCTAGCGCGTATAGAAGTGCGCGTTTAGATTTGGATCCTGGAATGTGGTTTTAGCTTGTTACGTACTGTTGAGCGTCTACTTAGCTCAGTTTTGTAATAATTATGCGGAAATATCATATTTTTCCGTAGTCGAGTTACAGTTTTTTAATCTTTTTTAAAGTGCCTTTTATTCTATCATTCTGCTATTGCAACAAATTCTAATTAAGAAGTATGTGTATATATTAGTATACTCGTATATATAAAGTACCTTTTATATTTACCATTCTGTGTGCATTCTTCGTCGAGATGCTTTCATCAGTTCTTAAGACTGAAGTGTATACATTTTGAACGGGTGGTAAAATTAATGATGTACCCCAAAGAAAAATATAATATCATATACTCAATATTTTTATTACAACCTCCGATGAAATTTTTATACAGTAAAAATAAATAAATATGTTTTTTTTTCAAAGTGCAATCCCCCATTTCTATATGTCAATAATTTAAAAGAAGTGCCCATCAAATATATTAAGTGGCTATATAGGGGAGATTCCTCTGGGAAATCATGGAGTTAGCCGCCGACAGTGTTTTATTGTCTTACAAGGGCTCGTTTGTACGTGTTAAATGGTTACAGGTATCGAATATAACGAAAATAGTAATTAAGGCTCATTTCATACATTCTGTTTAACTTTGAACATTGTTTTGTGACTAGTTTTTTGGGTTATAAAATATTTTTAATTGTATCTTTGCATGCTTATTTCATTGGCACACTATGTAGCCTGAATGGCTTGAGGGATTTTGACGTATTGGAAAAGGGTATGAAACATAATTTTTGTATGTTGTTGGTCGTAGTAGCTGCTACTGCTGCTGCAGCCGGAAGCTGTAGGCTTTCGATAAATGAGTATTATTATTAGGGTTTATAAATAAATAATACAAAGTTTTCCGTATATTAATGTACTTTTATTTTAAATAAATATAACCAATAACATTTATTACATCACAGGAGCAGGGTACCATAAAAACACAAGTCGCAAATACATTCAGAACGGTCTTTGAAACCATAGACAATTTAGCTTCTTTGAAAAAACCCTTGTCTCTGATTCCAAGAAACGTTCGTGCCTCACATGCCTTATCAATTGACAATCCTTATTTAAATATAGCCTAAAAACTGCCTAATAGTAGAAATTGTTTGACTGAAAGAGGTTTCAATTGTGCGTTAAAAATTAAAAATCGACGTTAATTTTTTAATTTTGAGGATATCTTTAATTTTAAGTTAAAATTAAAAATCATTTATTGCATTAGGTGAAAAGGAAAAATAATAATTGTAAATCGTCGCTTAGCATATAATAATACACATTATAGGGCAAGTAATGCTTAACTTTTTTTATTATCGTTGAATCCCAATAACCTATCTATCCGTGGTTTACCTTACTAGCGATTGGAGTTTGACATAATTCGTATAGAGCTTATGTCAAATATCTAACGAAGCCACGACATGTTCAATTCTTTTCAATTCAATTCTCAACGAAGTCATTGAACATAAGAATTGAATTGAATTGAAAAGAATTGAATTGAACTTTAGTAAGGAAAACTAGATTATTGGAAGCCGCCGTATATAATTAAAATTAACAGTCAGAAAGACGTGGCCATTGAGAAATATTTAAATTGAATTATGTAACGAAATACATATTATTATATATCTACCATGAAGTCCCAGTGAAAGTGAAGTGCTTACTAATCATCTTAATTGTAAGAAAATAGTGGCTTAAAAACGTTAGACTCAATAGCTCCTTGTCTTATTAAGCGGGGTCTTCTATCACTTCTTTAGAATCACTTTCAGAACCACTTTGAAAAATTTCCTTTCCATGATTTGACATAGTGATTTGACATAGTTATTTAACTTCACTTTAACTTTGACTTCATGGTTTCTTCAAACATCAACTTAATTTTCTATCGAACTTATCAAAACAATTTGTTAGCCATGTACATGAAAGCATGGTGTCGGTATCTAAGCAACGTCGTTACATACAAACCATCTATATCTATATACTTATTTATCTATATTATATATTCTTTGCACGCCTCTGTATGAAAAACAAAGGAATTCATACGTTTTCAAGTGTTTACGTACAGATGCGCAACTCTATTAAGAAATCTAAGGATATGCATTACTAGAACAGGTTAATATTGTACTACAAACTAAATACAATTTTTACAATCTGCAATACAATCAAGCGATATCTAAGTCGTTTTAAATACGTTATCTAAACGATTATTTTTATTATAAAATGTACTTTTGGCTTCACTTACAAAAAATATGTAAATAAAAATGTGTAGTTCGTATGTGCCAATCCGCAAAAAATCTAAGAAAATATTAAGGGCACCAATCGATAATTAAATGAAAGATAATTAATTGTTCGTATATTTATTTGGAGAAGGTATTTTTATGCTATTAATTTTATAGTGACTCGTCCCTAGATGGCGCTTCCATTATATATTATTTTCTACCTCGTTTAACCGATCGTCATGAAAATTGGAGCACATCATTATTTGAGCATGGAGAGTATTTTCTCGTTATTGATTCACGCAAGTCGAACTGCGGGCATAGAGTAGTTTTAAATAAAACAACTAACACCCGTCGAGCCGTTTCAAGCTTTTTGAAAACTAAGTTTTTCCGGACATTAGGGAATCAAGCAATAGATAAAAAATTTATAACAAATTCGACGAATTCTAACTTAAACCTTTTTAAGCTTTCAGTCTTTAGGGGAAAGCTTGACAGTGAGAGCTTTTTACAACATTAGAAGCTTTATGTATCTAATATCAAATCATATATTTTTATTACAGTGAAATCACTTTTACAATTTACTCTAAATAGTTTCGCAAGTTATTTTCTACAATTTATCGAAAGGAAATAATATCGTGTTCAAGTACACTCACGTAATCACATACAATTGAGCCGTCATTACCGTCTTACGGTCAGGTACAGTTAGGCACAATAGAACAAATCATCCCACGATTCACAATCAACTATTGTTGGTAAATCGCCGTCGGTCAAACAAACTATATGGTATTATACCATGTAGAACAAATACTATACGTATTTACGTGTAATGGAATAGAAATTCTATTATTCAAATTTTATTGTGTACTAGTTGTTGCAAGAGGCTTTGTCCGTGTTCGTTTATTTTTTTTAATAGAGAGGTGTAATTTAGGCCTGTATGTTTCGATTTATTTGACAGATAAGGTTTTTTTTGCGATAAAACTGACAGGTGGACACGAAAATTCTAGTATATAGTAGTTCAGTTGAACTTAGTAATTCCAAATATTAATTTAAAAAAGTATTTGATGTACCTACAAAGAACCTTCCACAGATGTATTTGTAAATGAAGTTAACTTATAAATAAACACAATGGTGCCAAAAGTACATTTTATCATAGATAGCCTTAATTTTATAATTTTATTTTAGTAAAGCTAATAATACTGTACATACCTTTACTGAGGCGATGATAAAATGTTACGTAAAAAAACTACGTCTAAACCCCAAGTCGAGTACTCGGTAGAAAACTTCAAAACTTTCGCTTTGGCAAGAAATGACGTTATTAATGAATGCGAAAATGACAGATTAGATTTAAATCATTTCATAAATTATTAGACTGTAACTCTTACCTATACGTTTTCTTAATAAATGAGGTACGTTAAAACATTATGACTATGCTTTGTTTAGATGAATCATCTCAAAAATTACCTAAATCTATATTGTACAATAAAATATCATGTATCAAAAGAGAGCGTGAGTGTTGAAAAGTTACGCGCCATTTTTGACATATGATATGTAAGTGTTGCCAGTACTTAAAAACAATTTCAACATACGCATTTTTATTATAAAATAACAATTATACAAAAATGCATAAAATGGAACGAACTTCAGTTAGTCCTAGAATCTAGATAATTAAATAAATAATCTTATAAATCAATTTGTATAGTTAACAACAAAATTTTAAATAAATATGAAACGATGTATTTTAGCGTACAAAACTTTGTTGTCAACAGTACGTGATAATAACGAAATCCTAGGAAGGAAGAAAATTAAGTCACAATAATATACCTGTTAAAAACAACTATAATCAATAAATTGTATTAATATTTCATACTCGAAAGGAAGTATACAGATTCGAATTAGTAACGGGTTATAATCTTAAACGCGACTAGGTCAATCTATTAAAATCATTAATGGCAGTATCCTTTCATTATGCACGGAACATAGACGGAATACCTTACAAACTTCTTTGAATAGGCCTTCACGGTTAGGTTTTCATTAGGCTGTATGTCGTGTGTCCTTTGCGTGTTTTTTTCAAGTCGCTTTACTGTTAGTGGCAGTTGATGGCGCGCCGTTGGAGGCGACGGATGCGTCTGTGCCAGTCATCCCGCCACTCGAGTAGCAATGTTCGATCCCCCACCGTCAGTCCTGGCAAACCAGACGATGCACCCTCTTTTTCCACTCCTAGGATTAAATAGGACCTAAAGGAAAACATTTAAAGATTAGTTTGATATTTTGTTAAAGTTTTAACTACTTAGTTATTTTATTTGATTCAGGAATTTAAATAAACATGTTGGTAGTTGTATTGTAAATAGCACTTATATAAATTCGTAATCTAACATATTTTTTTTTGAATGAAATCTAAAAAGTAAACATAGATTAGAAGCGTTCTTTCCAAGTGGAAAATCCAGTTTCTATGATGATTTTCACAGCTTTTTCTTACATTAAGCAGCACGTGGTGAATACAAATTATGCTTTAAACCTCATAGCTCTTAAAATCGCTAGGTTACACTACTTAAAGGACTTGCGAGTGTTGTTACTTCTATTTAAGCCTTTTTTTCTATTTTGTCTGTGTCGCTTTTTAAATAAGCTTTTTATACTCTACATACTCTACTACAGTTAAATTAATCGAAAATATTAATGATAGAGAGTTTACAGTAGCTGTTGTAAAATGTATTCAATATTATTTTATGTTCTGTGGATATTTCAATTTATACATGTATACACGCAAAGACAAACACAATATACAGTGTACAGAGGCTTCATAATAACTTTATAGGTCCACTATTGGTAGGTATAAAATTGTACGATGTGCGTGGAGATGTTATCTATTTGTGAACCTAGGCCTTTCTGATCTACAGCTGTATAAGCTAGCCACTCGATCAATGAGGCTATCTTATAAGATTAGAAGAGTGTATACTCACTTATGAAATAAAACTTTCGGTTTTTTTTCGTTTTTTTTTTATTGTTTTACGCTTTTTTTTATTCCTTTACAATGTCGTGGACAGTAAACATTAGTTCGAAAAATAGTTTTATATATTAATTGATCAATTTCCTATACAAAATTCCGCCCCTTTTTTGACACTCTTAAGAAATTATTTCCGAGATAAAAGGTATCCTATATCTTTCCCAGGCTCTTAAACTATATTTCATCTAAATCGGTTCAGCGGATTAAGCTTGAAAAGGTAACAGACAGACGGACAGAGTTACTTTCACATTGATAATATTAAGTATTAATTAATTATTTATATTGAGGCAGTTGTAGCACAGTGGCAACGCGCTTGCTTGGGAAAAGAAGGAAGCAGGTTGAAGCAGGTTCGAATCCCTGGTCTCGCATCTCTGATATTTTCATGTGCGAATCATTTCCAACATGATTACCACCTGTCTTAAGGGTGAAGGAAAATATCGCGAGGAAACCTGCATGTCTGAGAGAACCTAGCAAGTTTTCAAAAAAACATATGAAGTCTACCAACCCGCACTTGGCCAGCGTGGTGGACTATGGCCTGATTCCCATCGTACTATAGGGAGGCCCGTGTCCAGCAGTGGGAAGTTAAAAAGGGCTGAATACATACATACAATTAAATATTCGCGTTTTAAGAAAGCATTTGTAGAACTCACTTATTAATCTTGATCTTGGGACACTTGCAGGCGAGGTCCGCGGCGCGCACGTACAGTGCCACTGCGCCGCGTCGCAGACGACTCCGCGGAGCGCGCTTGTACACCGCCTGCACGGCCAGTGCGAGCCGCACCCACCCGTCCGCGCCGCCCGCCTCGCGCCCGACCACTCGACCCATTATGACTGGTCAGGATAAATGAAATAAAGTCAATAAAAATTAGACAACTTTGGCTCAGTTTGTAGAGGATTACTACTATACGTACTTACTTGCTACGTACTTGCTGTGCCAGCGGTCGCAGGTTCGAGTCTCGCTGAAGGCATTAATTTGTGGTACAAGCATTTTTATTTAAGTCAAAATAAATTAAAAAGTAGAAAATATTTGGTATTAGTAAATAAATAATCAGCGGTCAAAATAAGCGCTGTTCACTTACAACTGGAACGTCGCAAGTTCGATTCTTGTTTATATTAACTTTTTTTGAAAGGTAAATCTAGGTATAATAAATAAATAAATATATGTTGGGACATTAACACACAGCACCATCTAGTTCCATGGTAAGCTACGAGGCTTGTGTTATGGATACCAGATAGTTGATACACTACACATATATAATAACTTTAAATACATACATATTATAAATATAAACACCCATGACTGGAGTACAAACATTCGTGCTCATCACACAAATGAATGCCCCCAGCGGGACTTGAACCCGCGACCGCTGGCACAACAAGTAGGGTCACTACAAACTGAGCCAAACGTGTCGTATTTAAAAACCTTTTGATATATGTAAACAACAAACCGTAGTCTCGGCTGCAGAACTTGTTGAGATTGAGAGTTCGCGCGCCGGCGCGGCACCGTCCGCACTGTTCCGCTGTCACACACATTCCAAATCAGATTACACCCGAAAAACATTAAACTATTAACACTTCCTACTTAGCTTGCTAATGTGGCAATTGCTTAGCGATTATAACCCTTGCGTTTCGCTTGGGACATTTTGGTCTATGGCTTTATCGCAATGGAAAATATACAAGACGTTTGCATTGTTTTAATTGAACTGATTTTTTCTTTAATATTTATGTGTGTTTTTGGTAAGCCTGAATATATTAGCATTAAATAATTAAGTAAACACAGATATATGTAAGTGAAATCTGTTATTTTCATTATTAGTATGAATAATAGGTATACTTTAAAGTTTAAACAGTTTAAACCAATACTGAAGGGTATTTATATTTTCATAAAAATGTATTTTCAATATCATTTATATATTAAGAAGTTTTTTAAATTAAATTGAAATGCAGTCATTTGACATTATTGCCACTAAACGCGCAACGCAAGGGTTAACATCTGATCGCTAAGTGTCATAAAGGTGTGTGTGAATGCTTCGTTCATTTTTTTATGTGAAAGTCTATTAATAAACTAATAAAGAATTTTTGAACATGTTTAAACTACTTGTATTGTAATATTTTGAATTAATATTTATTTTCAATAATATTGTATGTTATATCATCTATTTGTCCTACCTAATTAAATAAATAATTTTGTACCTGGCAATTGAATTAATATTACTGAAAATGTGTATACTACCTACATTAAACTGTAGAGATTTTAATAAAACTTTTAAAATTTTAACCTTAAAAATCCCAAAATATTATAATTTAGAACGAAATATTCACACGTTCCTTACAGATAAGCAGATACAGCCTGTTTTATTATATCTTAAGATATCTCAACTAATTAAACTTCAAATATAACATTAATAAAATAAGTTTTATCAAAAACCAAGATTGTACATTCACTAAGACTTACAACATCAACTACAACATCGATTAAATACTACAAGTTGTTACCTTTCTCGCACTTGATATAACAGATCGACTTGACTAACAGAAAATAAAAGGGGTTATGAGTTTGACGATGAATAATAAAGCAAGCCTGGAATCAAACTTAGACATGAAGTTAGACCATAGACTTAAAAAATTAAGGTGCAAATCAATATAAATGGAGTGAATGTACTTAGTTAAAATATTTAGTGTCTAATTATAATACTAGTTCTAGTTCTGCTAGATACTACATCTAAAATTTTCTTAAAGATGAAAAAATACTTCTTTTCTAAGAAATGCAAGTAATTATGAATACTTTGTCTAAACTTTGTTATGGTGTTTTTTAATATTGTTTAGGATACATTCACTCCAGGTCAAGACACTTAGTCACGGCATAAATGTTATTTCCATTTAACTGTTAGAACTAGGAGTAAAAAGTTAGTTAAATTAATTAAAAAAATGATGTAGTGTAATGTGAATGTTAGAATAAATAATAAAAATTGGAAGATGTATAGGGTGAAGTTTGAACAATGTTAATATATTTGATATTCGCTACAGCACCGAAGGACGCAACGATTCTTAAATGGAGCATAAAGTTACGTTTTGTCTGTAGTTTAAATAAAAGAACAGCGTTGGACCTACATTTACAACGTAAAGTGTATTTTTGTTAATTAAGTTTTTTAATATTTCAATGATTTAAATTCATTGTTTTAAGCTCATTTTTAACGTCCCACTGCTGGGCGTGGGTCTGTGTTCAATTCGATGAGGATTAAACCATAGTACTCATACAAACATATGGAAAAATATATAGAGCTTTGTTGTTTTTGAATTCAGTTTAAAATATTTTGCAATATCTAATAATAAAATAAAATCTTCAATATATTTATTTGAAAATATTATATAATATACGTACAATTGTATTTCGACACCTGCAAAGAATAACATTGTAAAATCCAAGTATTATATATGAGGAAATTTATATCTATTTTTAAACTATCTCAATGCTAAGTTGCAATGGATTTCCTTGCAAGGGTGGATTTCTCAAGTAGATTCGACCTATCAGTAATATTTCCTACGCTGTTACTATCCTATTGCCAAGAGAGAGTATTTAATTGATGTACAGAACTAACGATGTACCGGATATATCGATCAATATTGGGTAACACATGTTTTGATATGGGAGCCTACGATTAGAGCTGTTCGATAGTCCCTAGCGATTGATTAAAATTGCAAAAAAAGATTAGTAATATACATAGAATTACAATTCAGTCTATACAGATAAATAAAATTGAAGCGTCTGTTTGTAATGTCAAAATAACAGTGTTCTACTAAATGCATATAATTACACGGTATAAGAAAACACATTTTTTTTTAATTTTTGTCTGTCTGTCTATTTGTTTCGGATAATTTCTGAAACGGCTGGACTGATTTTGACGGGACTTTCACTGGAAGATAGTTGATGTTATAGGGAGTAAGATAGGCTACTTTTATTTTAGAAAAAGGTTTGGGGTTCCGCTCAAAAAAATTAAAACGTACCGTAGTAATTTATACATTCATACTTTTATTTATGACTAGCGACTTACCATTGCTTCGTCTATGGAGGTCATTTTGCAATACATTTTATTGTTTCACCGTTTAAGTAGCGCACGCCAATAAAACTATTCAGCAGCCAGTTTTTTCTGACTTCAGTTAAATTTATTATGTTTATGTTCAGTAAAAACATTTTTATTGAAATAAAAAGTAGCATACAGCACTCGGCGGAGTAGTATAGATTAATTTTATCTATCGTTTATTGAAATGAAATGAAATTAAGCTTTATTCAATTAGAATGATACAAGGATACAAGCACTTTTGAATCATCAATTATATTTAAAGAGCGTCAGTGTAGTCAGTACGTGAGGGAGCTACCAACGGTTCGGGAAGCAATTCTACTGAGAAGAGTCGGTGAGATACTCAACAGTTGCTCTTTTAAATATTTTATTATTAACATAACATTATAGATAGCATTTTCATTTTAAATACTCAAGTAACAAACACACACAAAATTTTCTCATTCATAACATGGATATGTAATATTAATATCTAACTATTCTAGTTACGTAATATTTTAAAAGTACCGTATGTGTATACGTTACACGAGTAACCGGTCCGCTGTTTATAATGGATCATGATTTTGAATGAAATTTATCATTGGTCGTTTGATAGATTCGATCAATTCGATATTAACTGGTCTGTCGTTGGCTTCGACATTTCGAAGCTTTTGCCCGATTTCACCAACGTCACCTAAGTTTAAGGGATCCCCTAAGCATGGTTAGGGGGCTGTTAGGGGACAGTTTTTGTTTCACCGACAGTTAGGGTTCACCTAAATATTAAAAGACCCCCTAAAAGGTGCTCGAAATATGGGCTTAAAGACGATCGTAGAACGAAATTTAATTTAGGGGCTAGTTTAGGGGACTTTTAAGCTAGGGATCCCATACGTAGGTGGTAGCTTATGGGTTGTTGGTGAAATCGGGCATATGTCCTACAATGTTAAACATATTTTGCGTACATACGAGTATATTTAAAGTCAACACATTTTTGCATGCATTCAGGTGAAATAAGTGTATTGTGAATCGAGGATGCTGTGCTTTATTCTAACACCTATCTGTACCTATTACGTACTTAGGGTACACACCTGTATGCCTTGTATAGATAATTATATCAAATTGAGCATCAAACCTACCACCTCTGATAAAGTAATTTGTTGACAAAAAAGGTTTAATTCAAGACATTTTTCTAAATTACCATATAAATACTTTATTTTATATATATGTATGAATACCTACTTATCTCCTAACTGCTATATGTATATATATTATATAAAAGTATATGAATATGTATGTTTGTTTGTATTTATACCGTGAATAGTGTCTGCATGCGGTGTTATGGGGCGAGAGTGCATGAAGGTCCACTTACTACTTACCGCGGCCCGGCTCGGCGTCCACCGCCTCCATCGCCTGTACCGCCGTCACTACGCGCGGGATACCTAGAAGGAATAAGTTGTGGAATTGTTCGAGATTATCTCACGTATTATAAAAGAATATATAAAAAAAAACTGAATGATTTCATTAAAATCGGACAAGTGCGAGTTTGACTAGCACATCGAGCTTTTCCGTAACATAAGTCTAAATCGATTTTTTTTGAGGTTACTACATAGCGGCTATCGTTTTTTTCTTTACTTGTGCTAAAAACATTGCTTCTTGTTAAATTAAATGATCCAAAATATGTGGCATAAACAGCCGTATCTTTTGATTGCGTTGACTTAGAAATTTGTTTTTTTTGAACAGCTCAAAGGAATTTCAGACTTGAGTATTTGATATTAATAAAACAACACAGATAACACAGTACAATAAAATTATCCAATACGGGTTTTTTCTCCGTTTCAGGTATAATCTCAAAATTTATTACGTATAAGCACATGAGTAGGTATCCATACAGAGGTAAAGCTTCTTACAACTGCGGAAGGAAAGGTTCCACTACTGCATGGAGCTTATCAGTTTTTCGGCGAGTCCACGTACGCGCGGCTTGTTGACTAAACCTGAAGACTGTTGACAATATCAGGCCAAGTACGTCACGCGCAAACGCAAAGGCATTTACCGCAACTTGTGTAGTACTATAATATTCAAATTCAAAATATTTTATTCAACATTTAATTTGTTTTAATTATTATTTATTATTTTTTGAGCGTCATGAGTCTACTACCAGTTCGGAAAGAAGACGCCTCAGACCTGAGAGGAGCCGGCGAAAGAAACTCTTGAATTAGCGGAAGGATATCTATTGTTGAAATATTGAACCTTTATTTCAGTAAGGATGTACCAATGTGATGTATACTCACGTATGCAAGGTGCAATGTGGCTCCTAGACTGCTGGTAGCCCTTAGCGCAGCGGTTGCATGTTGTTCCCGTCACGCCGTCCTTGCAGGGACACTGTCCACTCGTCTGGTTGCACGTCTTGCCGCTCGCCCCCACTGGGTGGCAGTCGCAGGCTGGGAAATAAAGTTTATAATTAACATGTGTTTATTAGCGTTCATTTTTAACTAAATGTGTTATCAAATCTATCTTGACGACTCGTTTGGCTCAGTTTGTAGTGACCCTACTTGCTGTGCTAGCGGTTGTGGGTTCGAGTGCCGCTGGGGGCATTGATTTATGTGATGAGCACATTTGTACTCCAGCCATAGGTTGTATAGTATGTATGTATTTAAGTTATATACTTATGTATAGTGTATCAACTATCTGGTATCCATAACACAAGCCTCGTAGCTTACCATGGAACTAGATGGTTCTATTTGTTAATGCCCCAACATATTTGTTATTTATATTTTTAATTTTCTTATATCTACAAGACGAATATTTAATATTGTAATAAAATTATTTTTCGGGTTTGATGTAAAAAGTTTACTTAAAATAAAAATGAACACTTGTAGAAGCCAACTTACTAGTTTTTCTCTAAGATTTGGTATAAGCAGCTACGCATTCAGAGTCACAAAAAGAATATTTAAAAAAGAGTTAATTTTTGCTATATAATAAAATTAGAACAAGTCTGTATGTACATTGTATTAACGGAAAAGGTCTCAATCATCAAGCCGCAGTTGGCTTCGAGCTTTTTTAATTAACAAGAAGGGAAGCCTTTGAACCGTAATCAAGCTTTCATAAGCATGATACATTTTCTACTCGCACTTACGTGACGTGAAAAGGAGGCCGTTTTGAATTTTGCTTCATTAGGATGTTTCAGTCTGACATTTGGCTTACTCTGGCTGCACTTTCAAATTTAATGTAGTGTAGTGTAACTTCTAGGAACTATGGCGGAAATTTACATACTAGCTTTTGCCTTCGTCTTCGACCACGTATTTTATTCGACGACACGTTTGGCTCAGTTTGTAGTGCCACCGGTCGCGGTTTCGAATTCTGCTGGGGGCATTCATTTGTGTGATGAGCACGAATGCTTGTACTCCAGTCATGGATGTTTATATTTATAATATGTATGTATTTATAATATGTATGTATTTAAATTTATATATGTGTAGTGTATCAACTATTTCGTTTCCATAACACAGGTCTCGTATTTTACCATGGAACTAGATGGTTCTGTGTGTTAATGTCCCAACATATTTATTTATTATTTAACTATACCTAATTGTTTCGCTCGTAAAGGCCTTAGCGTAATATTATAGCCTATAACCTTTCTGAATAAATAAACTATAAAATGCAATAAAATTTGTAGAATTCTAATCATTAGTGCGTTTAAACAAACAAAAATATAAACTCCAAAGCTTTATATATTATTATACATATAAAACAAAATTAGACTAGTCCGGAGATTAATAAAGGATTTATATTCCATTTTCCATATACAATAAGTAGTTTTTGGTATAATTAATTATTGATCATAAAGTTACATAGAATATCTACTTATATGGCAAAATAATTTGATGTTCTTATTAATTCTTCTATTCTGTCTATACTTTTGAGTGACATCAAAAAAGGGTCCACTCAATTTTTCCGCATTTAATTATTAATTTATTGAATTTAATTATTTTTTTTAATTTCAAAAAAAAACTCTTATAAGTGGAACAATTAATTTACAACAATTTTGAAGTCGAAGTAACTTTTAGTTAAAAAAAACTAAACAAAATATTTTGTAAACAAAATAGCAAGCTTACAACACGAAAATACAACGAACAAAATGTAAAAAGGAAAATTGCGATATCCCATTCGATACGTCGTAACTTGCAAAGTTTCTGACGCAGTAAAAGCGAGATGCCGCAATTCGACCAAATAGTTATCCCATAAAAACTGCCCCGGAAATCGGTTGACTCGCGAGCCCTTACGACTCCCGTAGGAATGTAAAGGTTTTATAGCTGTGTAGGTCGCTGACACGGCATAGGGTTTTATGAGCACTATTGTTTTGTGATATTGTTAAGATTTTGTTTATAGTTTTAGCTCTTTTCGGTATATTTTACGCTATTTTCTATATATATATATATATTGTACAATGGTTTTTTTGTGTAGTGGTCGGTAATTTGAAAGAAATATGTAGTAGGTAATAGTTTTTTGAGATAGTTTGTAATTACTCGTATATAATTTGGTAGTACTTGCCAATGTTTGTGATTATCTGAAGTAAAGTTATTTAATTAATATGATATGAAAAGCGCTTACAAATTTTAAAAATTACGAATAAAGATACACTGTAGTTCAAATTTCATTCAAATGACCCAAGACCAAATTCTTAGATTTTACATATTAGTTATACTCTTACATTGCAGTTTTTATATTTTTTTTCTGAAATGAGATATTTTCCCGCGGTAAAAAGTATCCTATATGTTCACCCGGATAATCAGCTATCACCATACCAAATTTCATCAAAATCCCTCCAGTAGTTTTTCTGTCATGCGGTAACAGACAGACAGACAAATATTCTAAAAATTATAGATTCGGCCTCTGTATCGATAATAATGTCTATTTCAATGAGATTTTCCAAAAAATATTTAATGTACAGATTCCACTCAATTAGAATTTTAGAGTTACAATTTTATTATATGTATAGATATAGTATTTAATAAAAAAATATTGTGAATTGGGCGGATTGATTACTTTATATTTTTGGGAGTCACTCAAAAATAATGATTATGCAACTCATTGTAAATTTAAATGAATGAAATTACGAATAATTATATAGACTATCTATATATAAAAATCGATGTATGTATATTTTTTATGGACTTCAAAACGGGTGGAGCGGTTTTGATGAAATTTTCAGGCACTATCAGCCCAGCGGGTGATTTTGTGAAGTTTGGTAGCGATCAGAAGTTTGGACGCGGGTGAAGTCGCGGGTACTGCTAGTATTAAATAAACTACGTAGAGTTTTCCTAAATCAGAACAATGAATTCTGATTTCTGGGTACTTCTTAAAAATATATAAGACAGTATGATAAATAAAATTTATATTATACGAAAATCATACTGACGATGTTTACTTTAAGCTCGAAGCGATAAACTTTTTTATCAAAGCTCGTAATTTAAAGCTTTTCTTAGACACAACTAAATAAGTCTCCAGTAAAACTATATATATGTCCGGGCGAGTTTCAACAAACGTACACTGTTTATGTTTTCCAAATAAGATGAGCTTTTACGATTCCCGCTTTATTTTTACCTGACTCGTTACAATGGTTTTTCAAATACATTTCGTTGGCTCACTATTACAAGGTTCTATGTTATAATTTTAGTACTTATTTAGTTATTAATGCTACAAGGTTCTATGTGTCATTAACTACAGTTTTGCAAAAACAAACCACTAGATAGCGGCACTATAACTACAAAATATTCAATTTTACATAGTTCTATGTTGTTTTTTTTTTTACGATAACAAAACGAAGTTCTATGTAAAAATTACTAAACTTCATTAAAATTAACATAGAACTTTGTAATAGTGAGCGAACGTATTTTGTTAATGTTTCTTTATAACGTGTGCTTTTAAATATATGAATGAAATCTATGTAATAAAAATTAAATGATGTTTTTTGGTAAGCGCATATTTTTTAATTTTCGTAATACTACACCTTATTCAGGTTTGAGGGTAAATTGGGAAATTGGAAAGAAATTGAAAGTCCTTTCTTCTGTACAATTTTTGTATGACCTCATAATCCATACTAATATTATAAATGTGTTTGTTTGTTTGTTTGTTTGTCTGTTCTTCTTTCACGTCGTGACAAAGGTGTGACGGATTGGCGTGATATTTTGTGTGGAGATAGTTGGAAGGCTGAAAAGTGACATAGGATACTTTTTACCGCGGGAGATTATCTAATTCCTACGGGAAAACACATTATAATACAATCCAAAGAACTTGGATTGTATTATAACGTTAAATAAATACATGTTTTAGGATTTTTCGAAATAATATATTTATTTTTCGAATAAAACATCCAATAAGGGGGTAAAATACGAAATGAAAGTTTGTATGAAACTACCTTTTTAGAGATTTTTTGTAGTTTAAGTGCGAGCGAAGCCGCGGGTTCTGCCAGTAGGTCATAAATCTTTGAAAAATACATACAATATTTCTATTAGATCAAATGTTTAGCTTTCTTTAATCTAAAAGCTAGATTTATAGCTTCCATGGAATTTCACACCAAAGGTATGAATTGAGTTTTGACCCATTGCATAGGTCCCTTTACTAATATACGAGTATAGAGCTGAAGAGTTACCAGCCCGAATTGAAAAAATCTTTTTCTACTTTATAGCTTATTTATTAAAAACCTAGCATCTTCAGAAGAGGAGTGATATCATATACATATAAATAAACTACACGCGCTATAGTAAAAAAATTAGCGATTAAAATATAATCCTCTAAGATATTCGATATCGAGTATAGTAAGAAACTCATAGTAATTCTGGTGAACGACATCTTTAAGATGTTACAACAAAATGGTTCACAACTCTATTTGCGCCGTGTATTTCAATAAAGTTTATAGTTTTCATAAAAAGAGCGGATAAACGTGAGTTTATAAGTCGTAAAAGCTTGGAGTATGATGGTTTAAAAGCATTGAAACTGGACTTTGTTATCTATACATATAATAAAATTCTGAGTCGTATCTGTACATTAAATATTTTTTTGTGAAATCTTATTGAAATAGCCATTATTATCGATACAGAGGCCGCATCTATAGTTTTTAGAATTTTTGTCCGTCTGTCAGTCTGTGATCGCATCACAAGATAACCACTGGACAGATTTTGATGAAATTTGGATGATGATAGCTGGTTATCCGGTAAACATTAAAACGTAACTAGGGACGAACCCTACCGGAGCGAGGGTGAGTCGTTAGTTTGACATATAAGTGTTAAGTGACATAATGTTTTGTTCAATCTTCTTATCATAATATCGATGTTTTCTGGCTACGCCTGCGTTCTATAATTTTTATATTATTTATACAATTGATGTATTCTGAAAATATTGATATATTCGTATGTTTCATGTAAAGAAAAGTAATTTATCATATTTTATATGATAATGAGTTTTAAACTTGATTTATAATAATAATTCGTTATATTAACGACTAACAATATGAATATAGGTCGGATACATAACCTTCCTTTAACGGCTAAAAAGCAAACATTTGAATCGAATACTTTGTTTATGAAATCGGTAAAAAATAATTGATACACTTACGTTTGCAAGCTTTCTTATGCGTGATCGGTTTAGTTGGGTCCCTATAGTATCCCTCGCGGCAGTAGTGGCAGTGTCGGCCCGCGGTGAAGTGCCGGCATTTGAGACACACTCCCCCACTCGCTCGTCCCGATAATTTGTAAAGTTCCATGTTGAATCGACATCGTCTTGCGTGGCCATTGCAGTTGCATTCTGTAAAGAAAGGTTTTATTAGATCCACTTTTCAATATCTACTATGGTATCAAATGTTTAAAATTAAAAACTTTTTAACTAGCTTTAAAATTAAAAACTAAGTACTTGGGCGACCGAGCTTCACTCGGCGTACGAGCTCGTTTAATAGGTTATCATTCTTTGGCGAGCGAGGCAAGTACTCCAAACATTTACATGATGGCGCTGGTTGACAATGTCAGTATATCAGCATCGAAAGGTGTAATTTTAGCAGAAGTAAGCCGTTCCAAAAATACACAATTTTTATACATTTTCAGAAAGAAATAAAGCTATTATATATATTTCCAAAAGATCATTGATACATTTAAAAAAAAATAATGTAAAAAAAAGTTAATGTAAAATTATAGCAAAATAATTTTAAGGTAAGACGTCTTGTATGGACCCTTTGCCACTGGAGTATATAGAACTTGTTGTTTTAGTAAAGACACCTATATATATATATATATATATATATATATATATATATATATATTTATATATATATACTTAAAAAGCAAAACCTTATCTAAATACAAAATTTGATCCAAATCGTTAAAGCCTTTTCCGAGATACACGAAATAAATTTTTTGTATAAATATAAAATATACAAGAATTGCTCATTTAATGTTATTATCAGATATATTAAAATTATTATTAAACTAGGAAGTTGGTAATGTCGTCTCCGAGAAATCAGTGAACATATGTACACACATAAATAATACTACTTGCAGACGAACATAGAACTTCCTCTTTTTTTGAAGTCGATTAATAAGCCAATTTAAAGCTACTAATTGTATCGATTTAAAACGTAAACTCGGCAATACAATGCTTTCATACTATAGAGCTGATTTCGTGTTGGACCCTAACAGTAGATTTTCGTTTTACAATGTTGTTGATTGCAGGAGTCGAAGTAGCCTATTTTATTACCCATAAAATATTTCTACATAAATTATTTCATGTATCTTGGAAATGGCTCTAATCTAGTTTGATAAGGTTTGCTGTTTCAGTTTATTAACATATATAGGTGTAAATTCAGAAAAAAAAACGATTTTTATATATTATATGAAAAAACAAGTTTTTACAAAAATAACGCCAAGTGAAGTTAGGTCGCTCTGGTACTAATACATAAATATACGAAAGCGTATTTGTTGGCTTGTTTTATTCAAAGTAATATAATTTTTTGAGTTTATTCAACTCCGTTGTATGTTTCAATGTAAAGTTATAACAAAAATCTCCCCTAACTGTGAAATTATTACTTTTAGGTTATTTTGAAATCGGTCTACTTTTCCTAGTCAAAAACTAGTTGTTGCAAAAAATAATTTGTCAACAAAAAAGTTAACCTAAAACAAAAGGACTCACATTAGTTGTAACTTGTCCAGGAATAAGTAAAAATGAAGGGAACATGTTAATTTACTACAAAAATGTAGTAGAATGCTGGAAAAATGTAAGCTAAGATATATATCTCTTCAGCCACAATGAAGCTTATATGGACAAATGATCTTGTGGCTAGTACCGCTGTTGCACGGTAACATATGACCACATTAGCCAACTGTTGCACACGTCCGCTGCAAATGGACGCAATTAATATCGCCTTAGCTTCTCTCATTACTACTACACACGTTGGATTGGTAGTCACGCGAATATTTTATGCTAGAAATGGAATAATACTTTAATAAGCTTTGTAAGGAATTTAAAAAATCTTAGTTTTTGCACATTTCATTCTATGAAATCTCTCTAGTGTTTTAGGGGTTTACAGAAAAAGGTAAAAAAGGCTTCAAACCACAGATTATATAATACTATACCTTAACAAACTATTTTAGCTTCGTCAATCCATATATAATTTTGCTATTAGATTTATAGTTATAACTTGACTTAGTGGATTCCAATTTATTGATTCATTATTTTGACTTAAAGCATAGAAAATGAAAATGTAAAATAAGGAAATATTTTCCCCAAGATACAAAATAAAAAAATGTCTATAATTCTGTCTGTGTGTCTGTCTATAGTTTTTTATTTAAAACATTTTCTTTAAATCTAACGGAACTAGCAAAATATATTTTTTATTTAAACTTTGAGGTGTAAATAATAATTTTCTATTCACATATTGTTTCAACCATTGAGTTAAAATTTCCAAATCCGCAGCTTATTTGATTACACTATACCGAACCCGAGAGCTTTGTTATACTCAAAACAAGTATAAAACAAACTATCCGTAGTAAATATTATTTTATGTGTACAATACAATTAGAAACCACCAAACTCTAATTTTATCATTCCATAATATATTCTTAGATTCATGCGAATATTTGACATCTATACATATAATTAAATTGTAAATAAGCCGAATCTGTACATTAAATATTTTTTGAAAAATCTAATTGAAATAAACATTATTATCGATACAGAAGCTTATAGTTTTTAAAAATTTTGTCTGTCTGCCTGTCTGTCTGTTACCGCATCACAGAAAAACCACTGAAGGGATTTTGATGAAATTTGGTATGGTGGTAGCTTGTTTTTCGGGTTAACATATAATACTGAGAAAAAATACAAAAACTGCAATGTAAGAGTATACTAATATGTAAAACCTAACAATTTGGGTTTTGGTCATCTGAACGTGGGCGGAACCGCGGGCAATGCTAGTTTTAAATAAAACTATCTTTTCGGATTTTTTCGCAAAATTTAGATTTTTGTTCCTCTACGTTTGGAATGCTTTACATCAATTGGCCACGAGAGAGACGGGTGTCGTTATTGATGTAAACATTCGAAACTTCGGGGAACAAAAATCAAAAAGAATTTGCGAAAAAATCTGAAACGATAGTTTTATTTGTCATCCCAAATTTTCCTTTGCCCAAAGCTCAGGCATCTATTCCAAAGCCTCCATGTATGGATGCAACTTTATCGAAAGCTATAAAGTAGTGCCAATGAATGACCTTAGAAACTCGACTTTCACATTACGCTCATTACTCCGCTGCATTTGTTTGCTTTAACCTGATCATCCATCGGCAAATCTTCTAGCTTACTACTAGTCTTCTATATTGAAGTTCAGGAGATTTAGTGATAAGAAGTATGTTTATGACGTTCTCTTTCTTATATTTTGTATGCTGATATCGCAGATAGTAAAAAAATATTAATATAAATAATATATCTTATATATAATATTAAAATAAAAAAAAATAAAAAAATGTGTACCTGAGAAACGGCTCTAATAATTAGGATCAAATGTTCTATTTGGATCAAGTTTTGCTTTTTAATTTATTAAAAAATTATATGTAAACATACATATATACAAGTGTAGGTGTGTGTCTTTTTGAAAAACAAACACAATTTTCATATCCATTTCAAAAAAATGCCGAACGAAGCTCATCCTTTCTCAACATAACATTTAGAGACGTCATTTTTGGACTTTTTTTAGTTTTCTGTTAGCAAAAACAGTTAATAATCATTATGACTATGAAAACCTCTTGGCTAAGCCTTCAGTAAAAGTTGATTTTTGATTTCAGAAATAAGTTAGCTAGAGGGAAGGTAGTTTTTTGTTATGGTATTGTGACTGAAAAAATTGGAGATCAGGACCATTAAACGGTTACTTATCTAGATGTACCGATTATGAGCATGCTTTATTTTACAAGCAATTTTAAATGTTCAATTTAATTTTAAGAGACCCTCTTGTGTTGTGTGATCGTGTAGAAATTTTGCTGAGAAGAGCCCACTTGAAACTCATCAATAAGGCTGTGCCAAAATTTTATTATAATATTGCTCTCTTGTCTAAAGTAATTCTACAGCTTTTTTTGTTCTCCACTTATTATACTATTCATTATTTAAATTATAACCTAACCACTTTTACTATATGTTTTGCTTTAAAATGATTTGTAGCAATCTACTGTAGAGATATAATCAAATCCTGAGTAATCTCAAATAACTTTAGAAGGGGTTTCTATATACATTCTTTGCATAAGATTTTTTTTGCATAAGGAGAATACCAGTTTGATACAGTGAATACTAAGTGAGTGGTTATATATACTGTTAGCATTTTAGTTGACTTAGACAAACGTTCCGACTATTTTTTAAATAAACAATTGGGATGAAACTTTCATAAAAGTCCTTAGCACAAAGTTTTTTGACAAGAACAGAAGTGTGTTTTTTGTATGTCTGTATATATATTTCATAATTTTTTAAATATATTCCATATTTAAAGCTGATTCCATATAAACATCCCATATTAAAATTCTCCTCTAAGAGTGGAATTATAACTTTGAAAATTTTGAAGTCGATGAACTTTTTAGCTAAAATATGAAATCAAATCAAAATATACTTTAATCAAATAAACTTTTACAAGAGCTTTTGACTCTTTGTCAATTTTTACATTAAAAAAAAATGAAACTAAATCAGTATGTAAGTCAGTGAGAAAGTTACATTATGGGTTTTCATATTGCTGATTTTAGTTTGCGTTAGTTTCATATCATTGGATAAAAGCCTTTAAAATTAACCTATTGCTAATTTATTCAGGTTACGGTACATGAAGTGCCATCTCGTGATAAGAATGTTAGCTTTTACTTTAGCTTTTATTAGTTTGTTAATTATTGTCTAAATACGAATTACGTATGTTTAAAGAAAGTTTTTGGATTTCTCTGGTTTCTGTAATACACTTTATTTACTGGTTTTTTTACATATTTTGATACTATATATTATGTTTATTAATGTTCCTATTAGTATTGAATTCTAATTTATAGTTAAATAATTATCAAACGTAAATAAATAATGCGAGCAGAGTCGCGGACAAGATTTAGTATCTTACAATAAAGTATATATTTTATCTTGTTACTAAAAAATCAATCGACATACAACATACAAATAAAATTACATCTAATACATTTATAAATATCTCGTGTCACAATTTTTGTGGTCGCACTCCTACGAAACGGTTTGACCGATTTTAATGATTTTTTT